TTCTGTGACACACAGATCAAGTAATTTATAACTGTTTCTCTCAGATTGGAAGATGTTGAACTTCACTAGTCAAACTGAACACAAATATTCTTATTATTGCGCACAAATTTGAAGGTGACAGATAATGTGGAATTCTCTTGTTGCGATAGCCACTAGTCTTCACAAATAGTAGTTTCATCACCTTGCCAATTGATGGCAGAAAGTATTTTTTTGTGTCCTCCTGGCTTTCAGTCTCCAGACTCTCTTCAGTTTAGGGAGGCAGGAATGAGAAATTCAGTCTCTTTCCAGTAGTGAGGTGTTCTGTTTTTCTTTTGTAGCTATTCTGCCAGTTTCAGATTTACTGTTGAGTGATTTTTGTTAGTCTCCAAGCTAGCGTGCTCCCCTTCCCTCAAGTAAATGAATCTAAGAACCCAAAGACTAGAAAATTCTCAACATGCAGTACATTTTTGCATCAAACATGAGCAACTTGTCTTCATTTTCAAGGATCTTCATGGCCTGTCTCCACCCTACCTGTCATGTCATTCTCTATTGAGAAGTTGACTCCCGCCTCTGATTGGTTGCTGATGCCACCCTCCATTGCCTACTTATTAAACTTTTAAACAAGCACTTTCATGTTTTCTCCTGTGCTGTCCATCACGCTTGAGAGGAGTGCCCCCATAAACATCTGCAAAGTTATCGAATGATGCTCCTTCAAAACTGTCCTTAAACTTTTATTTTTCCATGATACCTAGAAAAAGTTGATAGCACATCAGTGGTCTAACTGCTGAGGCCATTGTCTGTTATGCTGACCAATATTGTCTCATTGTTTTGTTTTACTCTATTTTGTCTATTGTGTTATCCTTAGATTGTAACCTGTGTGGGACAGGTCTTTTTGTTCGTGTTTGTTCTACCACAGTGGGATGTTGGTCCATGACTAAGGCTTTTAGGTGCTACAGTAATAAAACTACAGTGCTTTTCCAGTAAGCCACCTTTCATGGTCCTGCAGAGTCTCATTTCCAGTACTCTTACCACTCTTATACTTAATATTTTAGTAGAGCATGAACTCAGAGCAGAATAATTGAGAGCCCCCACTTTCTTTGGGCCAATCCACACTCCAAACTGGTTTTAGTTCTCATGCAGTCTGCCTCTATCGTGTCTGACAATGCCACAGCTACTTACTGCCAGCCCTCCTCCTCAAGATACCTGGCAGATTTGCATGGCCTACGTTCCAAAGAGCCTGCCCCATAGGGAAACATTTTGGGGGAGAGTCCAGAGTTTCACCCCCCAAATGTATCCTCCAGCCTTCTGCTTCCTCTTTAGTGCCCTTAGAAATATGGGCAAGCAAACTAGGATCATCCAACTCCTGCCCTTCTTTGGTTAGTGATTCTTTCATCCTGCCCAGAGGCTGCATCTTCTGCCAAGGTCTTGGTGAGTGGGAAGGAAGGTGATACTTGGTCCTTTATTGCTAGGCTCTAGAATCTAGTAAGAATATACTGAACAGGAAATAGCCAAATCCAGTGAGACGCTCTCCTCATCCAGTGAGGCTAGCAAGTGCTCTGTCCGTAAGGACAAGGCTAATAAAGATTGATTCAGGTTAGCTCCAGGGGCTCAGTCTCAAAAGGATCTAGTTAAAGAAGCCCTGCTTGAATTTAAAACAAACAAACAAACAAAAAAAACCTAAGAAAGGCACCAGGAGATTCACATCACAAGCTTGCACAGATTCCTTTATCCTAGCCATCTTCAGTCTAGACACTTACACTGATTTCATCACTGTGGTACAAATGGCTTTTCTCTGTTGGAAGATAACTAGTAATGAGATGTATATCCAGAAGGCAGACAACACACAAAGAAAAAACATACATATAGTCAAAGTAAGCTGAGGGAAACACAAGTAGTGGCAGAGGTCTTCCTTATCAAATGCTAAGGAAATTCTCTGAACTTCAGATAGAAGGCATTGAAGAAGAAACCCACAAAAGGCTGTTGCTGCCTAAATTCTTCAAGATGGATGAAAATGTTGCTAAATATGCTTGATATTATCCATAGCAAAATGAGGAACAGTAACTCCAAGGGGAGCCTGTTTCCAACCAAGTCCAAGAAGTTGCTCCTTTTCATGTAAACTTTCATGTTGGAATGAGAACACCAAAAGGAAAGAAGACAAATATATAAAAAACCTGTTCACTTCATAACTGAGATTTCTTGCATCTTCCTTTGAATGAATGCATGGATGATGGACCACTCATCTGATCCTATATGGTGGTTCCAATTTCCCAAAAGGCAAAAAGACTTCTACAGCCTCTAAAAGTAGATGCACTAGTGGCTTCTTTAATCAAAAATACTGTCCTTCCATCTGAGAAGGGGGCTTTCAGGAGCCCACTGGTGCAAAATTATGGAGCTGTGGCAGTCAAATCCTCAATCATAGTATTTCTAACAATTTTTTCCTTTCAAGTCCAAACATTGGAAGAACTGATTTTCAAATGTTCTCTCACTTTGGTGAGAGAAGACTGTCTGTCTGTCTGATGCTTGTATAGGGTCTTAAGGCTATGTCTACGCTACCCCTGGATCGATGCTCCGGTGATCAATGCACAGGGGGTCAATTTAGTGGGTCTACTGAAGACCCGCTAACTCAATGGCAGTTCACTGTCCGGTCGACCCCGGTACTCCACTGGGAACAAGAGGAGCAAGATAAGTCAACGGGAGAGTGTCTCCCGTCTACCCCTAAGTCGACCTAAGCTACGTCAACTCCAGCTATGTTCTTCACGTAGCTGGAGTTGTGAAACTTAAGTTGACTTACCGCAGTAGTGTAGACGTGGGCTAAGATTTGTGGCATGGGTAATGGCTTCCAGTGCAATCTTCAGGACCCCTATATCCTGAGGACTACTGGTTGAACCTGGAAATTTACCTGCAGTGATGTCATCCAGATATTCTGCAGGTACATAGCATCAGCCTCTTCTAATTTGCACCAAAAAGTCTAGCCCTCTTATGGGTTTTGTTTTCCCTGGTACTTCTTTAAAAGAGCTTCTGGTTACTCCCAAGGAAGAGGATAGATATTCCCAAGGAGGAAAATCTAGGGCTTACTCCATCTGGAATTTAAACACCAAAAATAACACATGGCTACCAGTTCTACCTGTCCAAGGATTCCTCCTCCCTTGGAAGAGGCTACTGTTTTCAACTGTCACTGGTCAAAGAAGATACTATGCCATGGAATTCTCACATTCCTGTGGAGACCGTTATCTTCTTGCAGACCTCAAGGAACCTCTGCAGACAGAGCAATGTGTGAAACAGTAGCTCACCTTCTGAAGTTTGACGTCATCAGAGAGGTCCCTCAAATGGAGAGGTCTTACAGTATACTATTGATCTTCTTTTTTTTCTCTCTCTCTCCTTTTTTTCCTGAAGATTTTGGGTTCAGATTCTGTCACTCTAAGACAGAGGTGACTTATTTAATGCTATATGGAAACCATATGTGGATTATGTTCATGCTGATATTGGAGTATTTAAAAATAATAATTAAATAGTAGTTTATCACTTCACTTGTGAATTTGATCCTACTTGCGTTATGGAAAAAATGTTAACCTTAACACATCTTGTTTTATGAATTTCTTTAGAAGAAACAAGTTAGAACATTTAGCAGCTTTAAGAGGGAAGACTTCTGCTGGCAGTTAAGAAAAAAACCAACAAAACAAAACTGTACATTTAAATTAAAGATTGTCAGGGAATATATATTGATGTTGGCAACGCTAGTAGCGTCATCCAGGCTTGGCAGGAATCTGCTGTAAGGGTCTTCTGAATTGGTGGGTAAAAGTCCAAGTCTGATGCAAAAGATACTGTTTTGGAAGTCAGAGAATCCTTACTATGCATACATCCACAGTATTTGGTGAACAAATAGTGTTTTAGGGGCCCTTGATTGAAAAAAGGGTGATTATATAGAGACTAAATCAAATCCATTCCATTCAAAAAGTATGCCTGGCAAATAAATTTATCGTGACACTAAAAATGGTACAGACTAACACGGCTGCTACTCTGAAACCTGTAAAAATGTTTTGATCGTAAATAGAAAACGAGTTAAAGTTCAGGTGAAATTAAGTTCATAGTCTTTATACATTAAAACTTTTCTTGATTGAGTGGGGATTTAAAATTTTCCGAAATGTGGTTTCAGATCTGATTTTTCTCTGACACTGTAACGGCATTATAGCCCCAAAGCAACAATATAGCAAAGTAAATGGCTAGTTTCAATTGACTTTTACTGTTTGAGGATTTAGAGTATTTAGCGTGCTATACATAAGTTGGGCTTTTCCCCCCTAAGGAAATACTACTGCTACAGGATACTATTCAGTGGTTTGCATCCATTAGCATAGTTTCAACTCTAGTTCTTATTTATCAAGTCTTAAATGATAAAAACTGACAGGTATTTTACCAGGACCATTTCAGTAACACAAAGCTTGTCTACAGCACTAACATGTTGCACATTAATTGGACCATGTTGACTGCTGGTGTGCACTAAAGATTCCCTAGTGTTCTCTGACTTAGTGCTGCTTGAAACAGTACTATGTTAAAGCATACTAGGGAACCTTTAGTGCACACCAGCAGGGTATTCACGCAACAATTAATGCAAAACATGTTACTGCACTTTAGAAATCATACCTCCCATAGTGTGCATTATCCCACTGTGTGTACAAGCCCTTACTGACAAGCTTTTTCACCATAATCCTGTGTTAATTTAAAGTATAATCAGTGGTACATGTAAAATAATGTCTGAGATGTTCCTGTATATTAGGGAGTTGAACTTCCACTCTGATTTCTCTTAATAATGTGAATTATTTGAATACTAGCATCATGGTTAAGATTAATCACATAAGGAACACACAATCTGTGCTAGGAAATAATTTTTGTTTTATGATGACAAGATAATCCTCGAAGAGCATTTAGTGTGGTGCAGTTTCAGTTCCTTTCACCAGTGCTATTGACAAAATACATTTTTACATTTGTTTTGCATTTTGAGGTAATGCTTTCCTTTCTCCCTCCAGAGTCTGTGGACGAGGAAACACAAAGATTCCCAAATGAATAACCGAAAGGAAGATATGGAGATTGCCTCCCATTACCGTCATCTGCTTCGTGAGCTCAATGAGCAGAGACAGCATGGCATCCTCTGTGATGTTTGCATTATAGTGGAGGGGAAGATCTTTAAGGCTCACAAAAATGTCCTGCTCGGGAGCAGCCGCTACTTCAAGACTCTTTACTGCCAGGTACAGAAGACATCTGACCAGGCCACAGTCACTCATTTAGACATTGTAACTGCACAGGGCTTTAAAGCCATTATTGACTTCATGTATTCTGCACACTTAGCACTGACGAGCAGAAATGTCATTGAGGTGATGTCAGCTGCTAGCTATCTCCAGATGACTGATATTGTACAAGCTTGTCACAATTTCATAAAGGCAGCTCTTGACATAAGTATAAAGTCTGATGCCTCAGATGATCTTGTTGATTATGAACTTGGGGCCGCTTCCAGCAGTAGTACAGATGCTTTGATTTCAGCAGTGGTGGCTGGTAGGAGTATTTCTCCGTGGTTAGCTCGACGAACAAGTCCCGCGAACTCTTCTGGAGATTCGGCCATTGCTAGCTGTCATGAAGGAGGGAGCAGTTATGGAAAAGAGGATCAGGAACCAAAAACAGATAGCCATGATGACATTTCATCCCAGTCTCTTTGGTCCAGTGACATGGGCTATGGGTCATTGCGTATCAAAGAGGAGCAAATTTCACCATCTCACTATGGAGGGAATGAATTGCGTTCTGCCAAGGATAGTGCAATACAGAACACTTTCTCAGAACAAGGAGCAGGGGATGGCTGGCAACCCACTGGACGCAGAAAGAACAGAAAAAATAAAGAAACTGTGCGTCATATTACACAGCAAGTAGAGACTGACAGCAGGGCAAGCTCTCCAGTGCCATCTTTTTTATCTGCCTCAGGATGGCCATACAACAGTCGTGACCCAAGTAAGGTTTTGTTTTGGTTTTTTTTCTTTTGATTTTCAGCAATGAGCAGCTGTAGTAATGCAAATATAGATAGTATTTTGCTTATAGCACACTTCTCATTCACTGAAATAAAAATATTATGAACTTCTGGGGATTGATAATGGAATATAGAACCTTTTTATCTTTAGGTTATTTATCCAAACTTATCCCTGGATAGTAGAGAACTGAAGTCATAGTCATCTCATAGGTATTAATTTGCGAATAAAATAGTGGCTTAAGTCAGGTCCTTGATGTACAATTGTCTGTCACCAAAACTGCCATTCTTACTAGCAGTGTTGGTAAAGGATTGAAACGGGACTTGACCACCTGCTAGATTAATCATTTCAGGTCAGGGTTGAGGAGCACTGGTTGTATAGAGCAAGGAGTCTTTTTTAATTGCTACTGCATGTGCTCTAATCTCTGCATCTTAATGAGACTACTGTTTCTAACACTGCCTTCTGGTATCTACAGGAGTGCCAATTTCACTCATATGGCCTGCTTAGATCACTCCTCAATGGAGGAACAGCTATGGTGTTGACAGAGGGGGCGATTAAGGACAACATAGCATCCATGTTCCTCCTTAATCAAATGTCAGCCAAGTGTTTAGTGGCTTTAAGAATGGAATCCTCATGTCATTTCATGGTTTAGACCATCTATTGGTTTATTATGAATATCTGCAGTCTTTCAGATGAGCAGGTTTAAATGCATTGCAAGGGAGACAAATACACTCTTCGCCTCTTTTGAATTTTCATCAGTGTTTTTCTTTTAAAATAATATGAAAATTGTCCAGCTACATTCACTTTATCCACCAATTATTTAGGTTCAAGAATAAATATTTGCCTGTCAAAGTTATGGCTGAGATTTTCAAAGGAGCCTGAGCGTGTTAAGTGCCCAACTGCAGTTGAATTTCAATGAGTACAAGGTGCTCAACTCCCTTGGCCTTCTTTGGAAATCCCAGCCTGTCATGAGTTATTAACAAAATCTGTTATGGCATGCTGGTACATAAAGTCAGGAAAGGGGGGAGAGGGGTGTGTGGGTGGGTGTGTGCGTGTGTATGAGAGAGAGAGAGAGGTGTAATGTGTAAAGTAAATACGTTTATATGTTTTCATATATCTTGTAAGAAACAATTATAATTTTAGGGAAAAAATCTACATAATTGATCCTATTTGAAGTTGAAGGGCAGTATTAGTGAAATATTTCTGGTCTGGAATTTGAATGTTAAATGTCATGGAAAGTCAAATTAGATGGAATGGATAACAGTCTAGAAATACTTTTGGATTTATTTTGTTGCGTGCAGCAACAAGCTTGCATATAATTTTGATCGTCCTTATTGGTTAATGATAAAAACCTAAACAATTTTAATTTAAAACCAACAATGCCAAATGATACTGGCTTATAATGAATTTTGGATTTATAGTTCTCAAACTTCAGGGTATTCTTGAATAAAGCCTGTTGTTCCCAGTTAAGTGCCTATGATGCTGTTCAAGCATAAGTGTTTCTGGCTTGCACACCACCCCATAAAAACCACTCAAGCAATTTATATTATTCACACTGTGGACATTTTTGGACTGGTTTATAGAGTAAAATACAAGTATGCTGGAATGGCTGCAAAAATGGCACTGAAAAACTAATTGCAGGGATATGTTCGAGGATTGTTTTAAAAATATAGTTTCTTAAAACATGTCAGAGATATTCAGTGGCATAATACAAGAGATTCTGCTGTTGGAATTAATAGGGTCTGTGTCACTGAGTACCTAATGATTAAGGTACTGAACAGTATTAACATGAAAATGGTCACAAAAACACCCCACCCCCACCCAAAAGAGACTTCCAGCGTTGATTCAGTGCAGTCCTCAGACATCTGCTTCAGTGGACACTATCAAATAGTTTAGAGTGGCCTTAAATCTACGTTTTATGTGTTAAAACTAGGGCTGTCAAGCGATTACAAAAATTAATTGCAATTAATCACGCTGTTAAACAATAGAATACCATTTATTTAAATATTTTTGAATGTTTTCTACATTTTCAAATATATTGATTTCGTTTACAACACAGAATACAAAGTGTACAGTGCTCACTTTATATTTTTTACAAATATTGGCACTGTAAAAAACAATAGTATTTTACAATTCACTTAATACAAGTATTGTAGTGCAATCTCTTTATCATGAAAATTGAACTTACAAATATAGAATTATGTACAAAAAAAACTGCGTTCAAAAATAAAACAATGTAAAACTTTAGAGCCTACAAGTCCTCTCATTCGTACTTCTTGTTCAGCCAATTGCTCAGACAAACAAGTTTGGTTACAATTTGCAGGAGATTATGCTGCCTCCTCCTTGTTTACAGTGTCACCTGAAAGTGAGAACTGGCATTTGCATGGCACAGTTGTAGTCGCCCTCACAAGATATTTATGTGCCAGATGCCCTAAAAATTCATATGTCCCTTCATGCTTCAGCCACCATTCCAGAGGACTTGCACCCATGCTGATGACAAGTTCTGCTCCATAACGATCCAAAGTGAAGTGATCCCATGCATGTTGATTTTTATCATACGAGTCAGATCCCACCAGCAGAAGGTTGATTTTCTTTTTGGTGGTTCAGGTCCTGTAGTTTTCACATCTGAGTGTTGTTCTTTTAAGAATTCTGAAAGCATGCTCCACACCTTATTCCTCTCAGATTTTGGAAGGCACTTCAGAATCTTAAACCTTGGGTCGAGTGCTGTTGCTATCTTTAGAAATCTCACATTGATACCTTCTTTGCGTTTGGCAGATCTGCTCTGAAAGTGTTCTTAAAATGAACACGTGCTGGGTCATCATCCAGGACTGCTACAACATGAAATATATAGCAGAATGTGGTTAAAACAGAACAGGAGACATACAATTCTCCCCTAAGGAGTTCAGTCACAAATTTAATTAACACATTTTTTTAATGAGCGTCATCAGCATGGAAGCATGTCCTCTGGAATGGTGGCCGAAGCAGGAAGGGGCATACAAATGTTTAGTATATCTGGCATGTAAATACCTTGCAACGCCGCCTACAAAAGTGCCATGCGGACGCCTGTTCACTTTCAGATGACGTAAATAAGAAGCAGGCAGCAGTATCTCCCATAAATGTAAACAAACTTGTTTTTTTAGCAATTGGCTGAACAAGAAGTAGGACTGAGTGGACTTGTAGGCTCTAAAGTTTTACATGTTTGTGTTTTTGAGAGCAATTATGTAACAAAAAGTAAATCTACATTTGAAAGTTACTCTTTCACGATAAAGAGATTGCACTACGGTACTTGTATGAGCTGAATTGAAAAATACTATTTTGTTTATCATTTTTTACAGTGCAAATATTTGAAATAAAAAATAGTATAAAGTGAGCACTGTACACTTCGTATTCTATGTTGTAATAGAAATCAATATATTTGAAAGTGTAGAAAAACACCCAAAATATTTAGTAAATTTTAATTGTTATTCTATTGTTTAACAATGCAATTAGTCACAATTAATTTTTTTAATCAGGTTTAATTTTTTTGAGTTAATTGCATGAGTTAACTGCAATTAACTGACAGTCCTAGTTAAACCACATGTAGATCCTAATTAGTAGAACTTGTTTCGTTTTTTTAAAAAAAGATTTAGCTAAAGATTCCAGTAGTGCCAGTAGATCAGAAAGAGAAACTAATTAGAAATACTCTTATTTATTGTTCACTGTTGAAATTGAGTGAAATGCCAGAAATAAACACACAGGGGTGATGCCAGCAGAGATGGGGACCTACAGAGATCTGGCTGCTGCACCACAAACACTATGGTCCTGAATACAGGCAATCTTGCTGAAGAAGGGAGATATCTGAAGGCTGACCAGCCCATGGTATTCCCACTTAAGCCAGCTCAAGAATTGATCAGAAATAGAATTCTCCTCCCTTTACTGTTGCAGAGTGATGTTGCTCCTCTCCACAAGACTCTGTTGCCTGCCACAAGAGTGGGCTTGAATTGAGTGCTAATCAGCACACTTCTGCGAGAGCACTGTGTGATCCACCATAGTGCCAGAATCAATCCCTAAAAGTGTTTTAAGCGACTGAGAGACACTGTTTTTCTGTTTCACACCTTGTGTATTTGCTTTCTGTTTCTGGTTACAACTTAATCTTTGGTTTCCACAGTATGCATCCGATGAAGTGAGCTGTAGCTCACGAAAGCTTATGCTCAAATAAATTGGTTAGTCTCTAAGGTGCCACAAGTACTCCTTTTCTTTTTACAAAATTATTTGAGCATAAGCTTTCGTGAGCTACAGCTCACTTCATCGGATGCATTCAGTGGAAAATACAGTGGGGAGATTTATATACACAGAGAGCATGAAACAATGGGTGTTAACATACACACTGTAACGAGAGTGATCACTTAAGGTGGGCTATTACCAGCGGGGGGGGGGACACACCTTTTGTAGTGGTGATCAAGGTGGGCCATTTCCAGCAGTTGACAAGAACGTCTGAGGAATGGGGGCGGGGATACTTAGGATATTTGCCAGTTGCAAATTTCCTTCCTGTGCCCAACTCTGCAGCTACATTGGATGAAATGAAATCTAATTAAATAGGCTATTCATGTGAGTTCATTTCACCATTCCAGTGGGTGGAGATAGTGGAGGAAGTGGTCAACAAAGCTCTTACTTTTTGCTGTGAGAAATAGGGCTTTCTGCCTCAAATTAATATTTCCCATCTCCAGCAGGTGGAAGCAACCCTCTTGCTAGTTACTAGATCTACTAAGCTGCTAGGCTTCAGAGCTGAGCTTAGGTTAGTCACTGATATTTTTTGGTTTCTTTAGCTTCTTAATTACTTATTTATTTAGTGTCCAAAAATATGCTAAGCACCTCACAAACCTGTAATAGATAGGCCACAGCCCCGGAGAACTGATCAGCTAAATAAGTAAAAACAAGAGATGATGGCAAATGCATGCCATATGTAAGCAAAGTGTTAGAGATATTTAGCAAGTTTTGTTACCGTTT